TTCCCTCCGGGTGACGTGCCATCTTCTTCCTGCGGGGAGAAAAACCAATGGCCTTATGCTAACCAGACTTCTTTTGGCCAGACGATTCAGTTCCGTGACATTAACCCCGCCCAAGCGAACGTATTACTTTCAAGTTAATTCGAATAGGGAGTTCGTTTTGCGAGTAATTGCGGGGTGTGAAGGATAGTGGGGAAAAATTCTCCCTTGTGACGGAAGGTGATTGCGGCGGCGCGGTATGTTTCCGGAAAACACTTTTTCACTCACGCGGGATACTTTTTGTCCGCGTAGGCAGTTTTTCAGAACCTTAATAGCCGGAATAAAAGTGGGAAAGAAAAACGAAAAACGGAGGGTCGAGCTTCGACTGTTGTCGGTAGTAAGTTAATACCCGGGTGGTTCCGGTGCAATTAAAGGGGCATCAGCCTGTAATATAGTGTCATTACCAGCAGACGTGGATAACGGGCTGCGTTATTGCGGGGTTGGATTTCGTAATATGGAAAAAAAATCCGGTCGAGGGTTTCGTGGGGTTAGTGTAACACATGTAGGGTTAACTTAAAACGCACCCGTTTTTCATCCACTTCCAGAAACCCTACATTTAATTCCCGGATCTAGTAATAAGTCTTGCGGTTTTCTAATTAATCTCTTAGGGCTCGTTAAACCGGTTAATTTTTCCTGTTCGTTTTTTGTGTTCCTTTTTTTCTTCTCCGGTCAATTAACGTAGCTGGACGGAAAAGACGTTGGAGTCGCGCCATTGGCCCTGCAGAGAAGGAAAGCGTCGGAAAGCGCTCTAACATCGTTTCGTATCAATTAGTTTCAACTCTGTTTGTCCGCTTATCGGCCACGACTTTCTCCCCCCCGCCTTTCACGCTACAACGGACGTTGTCACATCGTGTAAGCCCCGGGAAGCCGAGAAAGCTCGTTTCCCAGCAACCATCGTAGCTTGCCGGAGGAAACGCTTTCGTTTACTCGTCTCTCTCTTGTAATTTAGTTAGGGAACGGGGAGTTTGTGATTTTAAACGCGCCGTCAAGAATCGCACCGTCCTAAATGATATTACAGGAAATTAAATGCTTTCCGTAGTTCTCGGGATATTTTTGGCAAATGCTTTCTAGATATTAAAATATACCATTTTTCAAGTATGATGAAAAATCTTAATCTATAATATATTTTGCGCTATACCAAAACTTTTTTCAATATTACTTTATAGTTATCTCTTTATCTTTATAATTCCTTCTCGTAGCGCATTTCAGTTTTGACTGTATTATAACATAAAGCCGAGGTCGCTTGCGCCCGAGGCAGTAGCTTAACATCCGTCATTCTTAATGGTCTTAACTCGATATCGCTTTATCGTTATAACTCTTGATTCTAATACTTTTCAATTTTCACCGTATTATAACACAAAGCCGAGGTCGCTTGCGGCCGAGGCAGTAGCTTAATATCCTTCATTCTTAATGGTGTTAGCTCGATATCGCTTTATCTTTATAACTCTTGATTCTAACACTATTCAATATTCACCGTATTATAATAGAAAGCCGAGGTCGCTTGCGGCCGAGGCAGTAGCTTAATATCTTTCATTCTTAATGGTCTTAGCTCGATATCGCTTTATCTTTATAAGTCTTGATTCTAACACTATTCAATATTCACCGTATTATAATAGAAAGCCGAGGTCGCTTGCGGCCGAGGCAGTAGTTTAATATCCTTCATCCCTAATGGTCTCTATTGTAACGATCGGCCGGAAGCAACATCAGTTATAATATTTGACGCGGAGTAGATACCCGTTTCGTTATCCTAAATACATAATAGTGATTTATATGATAAGGGCATGATATTTTATCTTAGGTTGATGAAGAAATGAAGCCGAGGTCGCTTGCGGCCGAGGCAGTAGCTTAATATCCTTCATTCTTAATAGGTCTTAGCTCGATATCGCTTTATCCTTAAGAGTTTTGATTGTAAACCTTCGACCACAGAGAATCATGATTATCATATCTAACAATCGGTAAAAAATGTGTTATTTGCATAACATCGTTACGATCTTCGATCTTCACCGTAGAACAACAAAAAGCAGAGGTCGCTTCCGGCCGAGGCGGTAGCTTGATATACTTCATCATTAGAATATCAACCTCAGTTATAATATTTGACGTTAACTAACAATCTATGTTCGCTGTCTTAAGTATGTAGTAATTATTTATATGACAAGATCGCGATATTTTATCTTACTTGAGAGAAATAACGAAGCCGAGGCCGATATAGCTTTATTTTTATGAGTCTTGATTCTAACGCTTTTCAATTTTGACCGTATGATAATATAAAGCCGAGGTCGCTTGCGGCCGAGGCAGTAGCTTAATATCCTTCATTGTTAATGGTCTTAGCTCGATATCGCTTTATCTTTATAACTCTTGATTCTAACACTTTTTAATTTTCACAGTTTTATAACACAAAGCCGAGGTCGCTTGCAGCCGAGGCAGTAGCTTAATATCTTTCATTCTTAATGGTCTTACCTCGATATCGCTTTATCTTTATAACTCTTGATTCTAACGCTTTTCAATTTTGACCGTATGATAACATAAAGCCGAGGTCGCTTGCGGCCGAGGCAGTAGTTTAATATCCTTCATCCCTAATGGTCTTTATTGTAACGATCGGCCGCAAGCAACATCAGTTATAATATTTAACCCGGAGTAGATACCCGTTTCGTTATCCTAAATACATAATAGTGATTTATATGATAAGGGCATGATATTTTATCTTAGGTTGATGAAAAAATGAAGCCGAGGTCGCTTGCGGCCGAGGCAGTAGCTTAATATTCTTCATTCTTAATGGTCTTAGCTCGATATCGCTTTATCTTTAAGAGTCTTGATTGTAAAGCCTTGACCATAGCGAATCATGATTATCATATCTAAGTAAGAGTCGGTAAGAAATGTGTTATTTGCATGACATTGTTACAATTTTTGATCTTGACCGTAGAACAACAAAAAGCCGAGGTCGCTTGTGGCCGAGGCGGTGGCTTGATATTCTTCATCATTAGAATACCAACCTCAGTTACAATATTTGACAACTATTAATCTATGTTCGCTGTCTTAAGTATGTAGTAGTTATTTATATAACAAGATCGTGATATTTTATCTTACTTGAGAGAAATAATGAAGTCGAAACCGATATCGCTTTATCTTTATGACTCTTAATATACATAAGAGATCTAACGTTTTTCAATTTTGACTGTATGATAACATAAAGCCGAGGTCGCTTGCGGCCGAGGCAGTAGCTTAACATCCTTCATTCTTAATGGTCTTAACTCGATATCGCTTTATCTTTATAACTCTTGATAGTAACGCTTTTGAATTTTGATCGTATGATAACATAAAGCCGAGGTCGCTTGCGGCCGAGGCAGTAGCTTAATATCCTTTATCTTTAATGGTCTCTATTGTAACGATCGGCCGCAATCAACATTAGTTATAATATTTGACGCCGTCTAAATATCTGTCCTCGTTGCCTTAAATACACAATAGTGATTTATATGATAAAGTCATGATATTTTATCTTAAGTTGATGAAAAAATTAAGCTGAGGCTGCTTGCGGCTGAGCTATTACCTCGATATCGCTTTACCTTTAAGAATCTTGATTGTAGCGCCTCGACCATAGGGAATCATGATTATCATATCTAACAATCGGTAAAAAATGTGTTATTTGCATGACATCGTTACGATCTTTGATCTTGACCGTAGAACAACAAAAGGTCTTGGTCGCTTGCGGCAAAGGCGGTAGCTTGATATTCTTCATCATTACAATATCAACCTCAGTTACAATATTTGACAATTTATGTTCGCTGTTTCAAGTATGTAGTAATTATTTAGATGATAAGATAAGGTCGCGATATTTTATCTTACTTGAGAGAAATAATAAAGTCGAAACCCATATCGTCTTATCTTTATGAGTCTTAATTGTACGATCTTTAATCTTGACCGTATGATATCATGAGGCCGAGGCACAAGTTTGATATTGTTTTACCTTTAAGTATCAACTACAATAATTGACGATCAGCAAAAATGGCTTTACAACAGTTATTTATATGACAAGTTCGAATACGAGTTTATACAAGTTACACGAGTAATAAGCCATTTATGATAAAGAAATAGTCTTTAAATATACGAGTATGTCCCGAGATATCGTGGGCCTGATACTTAAGGGGTTAATATAAAACAACGTTTATTATCGATTATACTATCTAATAAGCATTGTTTGATATCTGAGCCGGTAATTACGTTAGGATATCGGATCCATACATCACTAAAGCTAATGGTATCAGAATAATCGAAACCGCTGATGGGGAATGCAGCTGTTGATGAAATTCGAATCCGATTGTTAATTAAATGAAAGACAAAACCTTCCAATAGCGGTATTTTTCGACATTTCGAATTTAATGAACATTAATTATATGCTGTCGTTTGTAACAAAATTTCGGTACAAAACTAGACATTTTTTTTCAAATAATTTGGGAGTAATTTGGGTGGACGGCGATCCTGTTCACAATTAAAACGGCTATTGATTAATAAAGCATAGACTAATTAGTGTTGCGCCATGCTATCATAGTTTCGGTGGGCTGTTGTAACCCCATCGTTTAATTTAAAACCCGCCCTTCGGTGGGGTTAAAGTGCACACCCAACCCGGTTTGTTATGTCAGGGAGGGCGATTACTTCGGTAATTACCTTTCACGGCACAATAAACCGTGGTCATCAGCCTTTAGCGTCCTGCGAGGTCGTCTTGCCGCAGTATCCATCAAGGAGACCCCGACCTTCCTTAAACGGTAATCCTGCCAAATACTCACGATACTCACATAATATATCGACCAAGTCTTGCAAGATTACTTATTTAGAATTACTAAGAATCAAATCAAATTTGATTTTGATAAATTTTGTGATTTCGGTTCAACATCGTTCCGTAATTATCCGTTTTAAATTAGTAAAGTGCCTGAGGGTTTTAGAAGTGCTTATTCCTGTTTTAATGGTTTCAGATGATTGCGATGGCTGTCTTCGTTCTGTGCCTGTGGCTGCGTTTGGAACCAGGATTTTCCGAGTGGATAGAAATTCTCAGGATCGAAATTGTCTACATTGGGCCTTATATTTTAATAGCCGTTTCGGTTGTTGTAATCGTCGCGTCATTCTTGGGATGTCTCAGCGCTTTGCAGGAAAATAATTTCTTGATGTATATCGTAAGTATAAGTTATTTAAATTTTATATAAAAAAAATTTTCGTTGGTTCAAAGAACTTTTCGCTTTCAAAAGGGTGTAGAATAATGCTTAGATCCTTAGAGACTAGCGTTCGCGGTTAACTTTTGGTGAATTCGTTGGGAATATGGGTTGATTTCATCGGGCGGTTTTCTTTCAAGAGTTGCTCTAGGGAACAACCCGGTCTGTACCAGGTGGTTACGGAAGCTCTTCGAAGTGGTTGCCTGGCTACCGATGCATTACTAAGGGAATTATCGCCGAAATTTACGAGATAGCGAGGCCCGCGCGCGCCGCTAAGTGATAAATTGGCTCTTTCCAGGATTAGAATATATTACACGGAATTGTCGCTACATTAATCGTTCTCCCTTTGCCCTGGGCAGCTAGAGGCGAACGTCTCAGAAGATTAAGGAACACTCGGAGATAAATTGAAATATGCACGTCACGGCTTACTGTTTAAGGCCGCACGAAAAATCTATTAAAATCCCTTTTTGCATCGCTCGAAAGAAAGGAGAAAAGCGCATTGGGACAACATCAGCAAGATTCTAGGTTAGAGGGAGAAAGGCTAAAAGACGTTCCGAACAGTAAAAAGGCTCAGAGTCGAGCATTTAATTGCACCCCCTTCTGCTGATCGCGAAGGACCCGTCTCAAAGCGTATCAAACATCAAAGAGAAAAACATTTAAGCTTAATCGATTCCCACTGACGCCTTACCACTTAACCAGCGCTGAAAGCACCCGTCGCCTCTTGTTCCACCATTATTTGCCCCTCTAAAAGAGCTCGTTTTTCAATACATTCTTTTTTCTTGTGAAAATAATTACAGGAAACCAACTTTTTATAATTTAAAACACTTCAGATTACATAATTATAAGAAAATTGAATATTTTTAGTAAGAAAAGTTCTCGGTTCGGAATAGAAATGGGTGAGTGTCGCGATTAATGGCATCTCTCATGTAAAATGTCAAAACCTGCACGATTCTCGACTTTAGGGCGCCGCTGGCGGTACTGAAATAGCATTACGGTTGGAATCGGTGGAGCAGCTCTTAACCTGGAGTATGTTTCAATGTCCTGCTTCTAGTCGGATTTGGGGAACGGGTCGGAACGAGCACTCCGAAGGTCGTCCCTTCGACGTGCGGATGACGCCAACAAAAAGCCACTTCTCCCGAAGCTTAATATCAGAGATTACGAGGCAGATAACGGTGGAGGAGCTGGAGGCGTCAACTGAAATCGCTCGTACGGAAAATGACACCTATGTAAGTATCGTTTCGCCTGCGGGATTATATGAGTCTTGGTAATGACGGGACCGGAGTTCTAACTCGACGAAATAAATGGATATCTCTTAGTGGCGAAAAGGAAACTTTAAACTCCACCATTTAAAAAAGTAAGTGGATACAAGTTTCGAAGTGGTATTAACTTAAACATGGAGGTTCTTATTTACTTACTCAAAACAAGATAAAATTATTGGAATATATATTATGAGGTATTAACCTACTAGACTCGGCATACAAGGTATACACGAAGATACTGCTGGGAAGACTGGAGGAGGAGATGGAGTTGGGGGGAATTTTTCCGGATGGGCAGGCAGGCTTTCGGAAGGGAAGGGAGCAATCGACAACGTGTACGTGTTGAAGCATCTGGCAGATAGAGAGCTGGATAAGAAGGGAGGGAAATTGTACGCCCTGTTTATAGATTTGAAGGCGGCTTTTGATAAGGTGGATAGGAACACGGAACACCTAATTGCGAGAGTGAAGGAAATATACATGGAGACTATGGCTAGGATAAAAGTGGGAGATAAGCTGAGCGACGTGTTTCGGACGACGAAGGGACTGAGGCAGGGATGTTCGCTGAGCCCAAGTCTGTTTGCACTGTATACGGCGGACCTGGAGGATAGATTGGGGAAGGGGCAAATGGGAGGGTTGGTGGTGGGAGGTAGAAAGGTGCATATGTTAGCATACGCGGATGACATCGTGGTCATGGCGAGAGAAGCGGCGGACTTTTAAGTTTGGATTTAGTAGCTATAATGATGTCAGAATCATTGAAATTACAGCATTTTCGAATAAAGGTTAGGTTGTGTTGGTAAAACTGTTTAATGGAATATAACCTTACATTACAAATGTTTCTTTGGTTGACATGGAATGTTTTGATCAACAAAAATCTCTTCTATCTCTTTTAGTTTTTGAGTTATAACCTATTATATTGTAAGAAACGTAAACTTCCTAAATTTTTGTTGATTGGGTTCGTGTAGGTTGGTAAAACTGCTCGATGGGTTGTAATTGTGAATTAAAATCATTTTCTAAGTTAATTAGGAATAGTTTTAGTAAAAAACACTTTTCCATCGCTTTTAAGTTTGGATTTAGTAGCTATAATGATGTCAGAATCATTGAAATTACAGCATTTTCGAATAAAGGTTAGGTTGTGTTGGTAAAACTGTTTAATGGAATATAACCTTAGATTAGAAATGTTTCTTGGATTGATATGGAATGTTTTTGATCCATAAGAATTTCTTCTATCTCTTTTAGTTTTTGAGTTACAACCTATTATATTGTAAGAAACGTGAAATTCCTAAATTTTTGTTATTTGGGTTCGTGTAAGTTGGTAGAACTGCTCGATGGGTTATAATTGTGTACAAAAATTGTTTTCTGATTTAATTAGGAATAGTTTTAGCACAAAAATCTTTTTCTATCTCTTTTAAGTTTGAATTTAGTAGCTATAATGATGTTATAAACATTGAAATTACAGCATTTTTAAATAAAGGTTAGGTTGCATTGGTAAAACTGTTTGATGGAATATAAACTTATATCAGAAATGTTTATTGGTTTAATATGGAATGTTTTTGATCCATAAGAATTTCTTCTATCTCTTTTAGTTTTTGAGTTATAACCTATTATATTGTAAGAAACGTGAAATTCCTAAATTTTTGTTGTTTGGGTTCGTGTAGGTTGGTAAAACTGCTCGATGGGTTATAATTGCGCATTAAAATTATTTTTTGAGATAATTAGGAATACCTTTAGTACAAAAATATTTTTCCATCGCTTTTAAGTTTGGATTTAGTAGCTATAATGATGTTAGAAACGTTGAAATTGCAGCATTTTCAAATAAGGGTTAGGTTATGTTGGTAAAACTGTTTAATGGAATATAACCTTAGATTAGAAATGTTTCTTGGGTTGATATGGAATGTTTTGATCAACAAGAATCTCTTCTATCTCTTTTAGTTTTTGGGTTATAACCTATCATATTGTAAGAAACGTGAAATTCATAAATTTTTGTTATTTAGGTTCGTGTAGGTTGGTAAAACTGCTCGATGGGTTATAATTGTGAATTAAAATCATTTTCTAAGTTAATTAGGAATAGTTTTAGCACAAAAATATTTTTCCATCGTCTTTAAGTTTGGATTTAGTAGCTATAATGATGTTAGAAACGTTGAAATTGCAACATTTTCAAATAAGGGTTAGGTTTTGTTGGTAAAACTGTTTAATGGAGTATAACCTTAGATTAGAAATGTTTCTTGGGTTGATATGGAATGTTTTTGATCAACAAGAATCTCTTCTATCTCTTTTAGTTTTTGAGTTATAACCTATTATATTGTAAGAAACGTAAAATTCCTAAATTTTTGTTGATTGGGTTCGTGTAGGTTGGTAAATCTGCTCGATGGGTTATAATTGTTAATTAAAATCATTTTCTGAGTTAATTAGGAATAGTTTTAGCACAAAAATCTTTTTCCATCTCTTTTAAATTTGATATTAGTAGCTATAATGATGTTAGAAACGTTGAAATTACAGCATTTTCAAATAANCCAACATTGTCAGCACTAAGCTGCTCTCCTTGAATTTGCAATTCTCTAATTCCATGCCTTTCTTTAAAACGTCGCAACCAACCTGTTGAAAGTGTAAGTCTTTCAGTGATTTGTCACTTTTCTGCAAAGTATAGTGCTTTAGCTAACACAAGGACCGGACATCGGATCTCCTAATGCTCTTTGCTGAAAAAACCACTTCATCATTACATTTTCCAGTTGCTCACTCTTCGCACCTTTCATTGTTTTCCTATGTGTAGGGTCAGCTGATGTTTCACACATAGAAACGAATCACGTTTTATTGTCCAACTCATAAGCACGGTTAATCCAAACCCCAGTTAAATGGTTCACGGATAATCGGCACTTTACTGTATTTGAAAGCCAACGAGATATGAGGAAGACAGTTTTTCATACATTGTTGGGTTGGGTTGGGCCCAATTAGCCAACCCAACCCAACAATGTATGTGTTAGCCGACTATCTTGATCATCAATTTGGAAATTCTGAAATGTTGAGAATACTTAACACCAAGAAAGATGTGAAGAAAACATTTTATCACATATTTTTGGGTTGGGTTGAGCTAAATTAGCCTTTTCTATCTTTGTCTCCTCCTCTCTCATTGTGATATTGAGGAGGTTGATTATTTTCACATCCACTTACCTTGTCTCCAGTAATATGCAATGAATTGTCTCAGTAAAAATTTTTCTTCGTATTCTGCCTTTCGTTTATCACTCTGATCGAATACGGTATGTCTTGTAGTATCCTTCACTCCACACACATACCAAAACACATCTGTTTCGACTTTTTTGATCTGCTTCAAGTACTGTCGAAACATGTCTAAGGTTAGCCTAGATAGCGTAATAGTTGGTTGCTGGACCCTGTTTCTGCCATCTTCTTATGTTCTTAATGAAATGACATGCCCAGACGTGCTTTTGCTTCCACCTCTTCTGCCAGAACCAATTTATCTTTTCCGTATTCGGTTGGCGGCTGGTTTCTGTGAACCCAACCCTATGTAACCAAACCCAACCCAATCCTACTTTTGAACGAGGTCAAAAGTAGAAAGAAAGTCTCCGCAAACTTGGAGCTACGTTCTTCTATATTCTATCCCTCTTTTCTCCTGTGTTTCTACATCTTCTGCAATTCTTCGGCTCACGTTAGGATGGTGTCGTCCAAGTAAAAACTAAAATCCGTTTAGTGTTTTAA